TATGCAATAGATTTTGTTTTATTCATTAAAAAATAACAAAAGATCATTTGGCATAACGGGAATCCATAATTATTAATAATCTATAAATATACAATTAAATGTATACGGTGTCACACTAATTTGTTAGGACAACAAAATTCAAATGGAGAAAAAATATTGGAACAATAAATTAAACAATTTTTAATTTTTATGGTACAGTGATGTAATTAATATCTTCTATTGTTTTCTTACTAACACTGCCTGGAGTGATTGCGAGGTGGATTCAGTAGCTATGCAAGTTACCACAGCCGGTCCCAAGCCCGGATAAAATGTGGAGGGTGATTGACAAGGTTAGCAACCTAACAATCGTACAAACGAATACTGCTCAAAGAAACAATTTACAGCCTCGGAACCGGATTGATACTATGAAGACAACCACGTCAAGAAATAATGACAAACGAAAAATATCCAAAACCCAGATGAGAATTACTACTTATAATATCAGATCACTCAACTCAAGGCTCAAGGGACCAAGAAACAACCCAAGTGCTAAAAGAGAAAGAAATAGACATTTGTGCTCTACGGGAAACAAAAAAGAAATGAAAAGGACAATCAAAATTAGGCGAATACATAATAATCTATAGTGGGGTAGCAAAAGAAAACAGGGGCAAAGAAGGTGTAGTCTTACATACACCAAAGGTACCAAAATCACATCAAATAGTGTCAATACATATCAGAAAGGATTGTAACAGCAAAGATAAAAATGGAGAAGGAAGACCTGAACATCATCGGAATATATGGCCCAAAAAATAACAAGCCTCAAAGAAAGGAAACCAAGTAAATCAGGCAATCAAGGAATACCAGGAATTAAGCAAAATCATAACGAGAATGTAAAAAACGAAAATGGAGTACTGATGATCAACTTCAGCTAGAATAACGAACTTAGAATAAACAACACATTTTTTGACCACAAAGACCAACACAAATATACATTTAATAACACTCGTGGACAAAGATCTACATATGATAGATTATGTTATAACCAACAGAGATACATATCAATCGAAAATAATCGACGTAAGATGCTTCAACTCGGTAGATGTAAGTAACGACCTAGTATTATGTAAAATAAGAATTATCCTGAAAAATCCACGGACTACTTATACAGAAAAATAATATCAGAGAAGATCGCCGGGAATAAACTATTAGAAAACGATAACATCAAGGAAAGCTGAAACATAATTAAAGCAGCAACATAATCAATTGGTGAGAGGACAGCAACGAACACTAACTTATCAAAAAAGAAAATATCAGGGTACAGAGAGGAAGTGAAGACAAAATGGGACAAAAGTAGAAAGCCTTTTGCAATACAGAACACAACAAACACAACAGGCATATAACCACTATGAACGAATCAGAAATGAAACAAATACTTTATATAGACAATTAAACACGGAACACTGGCAGAGGTTCTCAAAACAGATAAAACACGACTTCTACGGAACACAAAAAGAAATATGATAAATATAATTCTAAAGTACGGAGGACCAGATCTGACCAAACAACTATTAAAATTAATCCAAAAAAAGAATTCCTCAAGAATGGAGATCAAGCATCCTAATACCTCTCTTCAAAAAGGGAGACAAATCGGACCCGGAAAATTACAGAAGAATTTATTTATTAAACACAACACTAAAATTAACAACCAAAGTGATAACAAATAAACTAAATAAAATTATAACACTAACACAAGAACAGTAAGGTTTTAAGTGAAGATCATGCACCGACGCCATATTAATATTGAGGCAAGTGCAAGAGAAATGCATTAGACCAATGACATACGTGGCAAAAACACGTCCTGACACAAAGAGGACAAAAAGGATGTTAGAAACGGCATAGATGAAAACATTTTAAAAATTTATGGTAAGACACTCTGGGACAGAGCTAGAAGTACAGATATACGACGTAAATGCAAGGTGTAGAATATCAAGAACTGGGTAAGAAATAGAAGAGTAGAATGGAACGAGCATATAAGCGGAATGACAACAAATAGAGTAGTAAAGACGGCTAGAGACGGTTCCCCAATAGGAAGACGATCAGTAGGGAGATCACGTAAAAGATAAAACGGCAACTTACTGGAGGCACATTGAAAAACAGATTCGTTTTACATAAAATGAAGAAGTTTTCATACTGACAACACAGCTGTTGTCTATTTGATGTTGTCTAAGAGACTGATTATTTCGGCTTTTAAGTCAAAAGTTTACCAAAACGTCTATAAAACTGCTACTGTTTTAGCTTTATAGAAAGAAGGCGGGTCAATTAGTCAATTATATGACGCCAGTCTAAGAAACTGATTTTAGCTTCACAGAACAAAACGGATTTTAGCTTCACAAACCAAAAAGTTCGAAAATGATATCTCCAGCTGGCTGTTTCAGATTAAGATGCCGATTCTATAAGAAATTATTTTAGAACTGAGCATGCTTTTAAATAATAATAAAGGCGAAACGTATTCTATTCACTATGAAGTAGTTGATGTCTTTAGTTTTTCCAACCTATTTAGCACAGTTCTTTTAGCAGGATCACTTTCATCTATTCGCATACCGTGGCCCACCCATCTTAGGCGGTTTATTGAGTTCGAAATTATATCGCCTTCTCCATAGCCTCTGTTCGTTAACTCCGCCATATATTCATATAACTCTTCATCTCAAGTCGTCATTGCCTTCTTCTTATTGCGCTGTCTCTTTTTGAAGGTTGTCGATCCCAATGGCAATTGTAGATTTGGAAGCTGCTGCAGGAAAGAGTTCTGTGGATGAGCGGTCGAACCATCTCCTCAGGTCTTTCAGCCATGAGTTCTAGTGTCTTCCAACTGATCTTCCAACTGTACTTTACCTTCCAATCTGATTTGGAGTAATTAATATATTTCGCCTCGCAACACATGACCTAAGTATTGTATTTTCCTGTTTTTGTGCTTGGTAATTCTTTTTATTTACTCATACGCCGAAGTACCGATATAATTGTGATCAAATCAATAACGCACCTGATACATACATCATCATCATAGATGTATGATTCAAAAAGTGTGCTCCACTTATCGCGCAAACTTTCCAACCTCTTTATGCGAGGATATATTGATATTAAACTAGCCTTTGATAGATGGCTCTACTTGATACCGAATTGGTTTCGGTGTTGACATTTGCCATTCACATGACGTCTGTCAAAATTTTAAGTTTCAAAAACAGTTTGGTTTTTACAGCCGTCAAAAGCAAGCAAATTTTGTGTTTTCGGAGAAATGGAAAAAGTCATCTATCGTTCGGTGATTAAGTTCCTCCACAAAAAGGGTAAAACGAATGTGTAAATCAAAGCCGACCTGGACGAAGTTTATGGTGCGGTTGCACCTTCATTAGCAACAGTAAAATTTTGGAAAGCTGAATTTGTTTGTGGTCGAAAAAATGTTTTTGATGATGAGCGTCTCGGAAGGCCAAATGAAGTCACCACGCCGGAAATGATCAACAAAGTCCAAGATATGATTATAGCAGATCGTCGAATTAAACTTCGCGAGTTAATAGTGGTCCTAAACATTTTCTACGAACACGTACACAACATCATTCACCATCATTTGGACATGAAAAAGCTATCAGCGCGATGGGTGTCGCGTTTGCTGACAATCGATCAAATGTAAAAACGTGTGACTACTTCGGAGACGCTTTTGGCGATGATACGGCGCGATCCGAAGGATTTTTTTCGCCGATTTATCACCGTTGATGAAACCTGGGTGCATTATTACACACCAGAAACCAAAAAACAGTCGAAACAGCGGGGCAAAGGCGGCGAAGGGACGCTGAAGAAGGCAAAGAGTGCACATTCGGCCGGCAAAGTGATGGCGTACGTTTTCTGGGAGGCGAAGGGCATCATCCACATCGACTACTTGGAAAAAGGAAAAACAATCAATGGTGAATACTACGCAGCATTATTGGATCAATTCGATGCCGAATTACGTCGAAAACGCCCCGATTTGGAACGCAGAAAAGTGCTCTTTCACCAAGACAATGCACCAGTTCACCGATCGGCCGTCGCCATGGCAAAATTACACGATTTGGGCTATGAATTGATTGAACACCCACCGTATTCCCCAGATCTTACCGACAGTGATTTTTTCCTGTTTCCAAACCTAAAAAAATGGCTCGGAGGGCGCCGTTTCGCAACAAATGATGAAGTCGTGACTGAAACTTCGGCCTATTTTAAAGAGCTCGAGCAAAAGTACTATTCGGATGGGATAAAAAAATTTGGAACATCGTCTAAGTGTATCGTGCTAAAAGGGGACTATGTTGGGAAATAAATCGATTTAATTCCAAAAAACTTGTTTTTTCTATCAAAGGCTAGTTTTATATCAATCCACCCTCGTACCTACTTAAATAAAAATAATAGCACAGGTAAGGGTGAAAAAGTGTGCATTAATTAGTGAATCTTTGAAATCTACTCTGTGTTATAAAGGACGATGTCAGGAATAACTCTATTGCCCGTGCAATGGCAAATTGTTGGTTATTATTTATTTATGAGACTTTAAGGGGTAAAATATGCCTTTTTATTAAGATTGTTGCGAAGCCTAAGTTACGTTACAAAATATTGACATAATATTATAAAAGTAGGTACATTAGAAGCCTTAATTTAAGCTTTTACAAGTTTAATTTCGATCAATTCTTATTGCATAATTAGCGCTCAAAGTTGAAAAACGGCACATAATTAACACGGCCGTATTTTTTGTAAAAATGGTTGAATAATAATTTTGAAAGTAATAGATAGAAGCCCTTTCAATCTCCAACAAAATGAGATTTTGTAAAACTGCATCGGTCCATTTGTTGCTTAGATAAATATGACAGTTCGTTCATCACAAGATCAAAAAGTTATAACTTTTTGAAAAAAAGTAAGCTTAACTTTAGGCTCATTCTCTTCTTAAACTCTATAAATTTGTGTTATGTATATAATATAGAGAAATATAAACTTTATATTCACATTCTACTCACCGTGTGCTCCTTTGTTGGCGTTTCTATCATCCACACTCAAATTAACGAATCCGGATCTTAAGGAATCTTCCAGTGAGCAGCTTTCTTCGTCTTCATCAGAGACTTTCTCCATGTTACTAATGACATTCCCATTTTCTTCGTTAAAATTTGCGTTATTGTCGTCGTCCCATTCATCCGCATCTGCACACCAATCGGTTGCCGCGGTTGTCTTAGGTCCAATCGCAGCTGTTTCTTCAGTAGTTTCGATTATTTGGTCTTGGGAATTCACTCTGATGCATATCCAACTACAAAATAGTTAAGTATATCGTATATGGTTGCATTTATAAGAAACGTTTCACATTCAAAAGACACAATTATCAATAGAACATGCTTAAAAAATGACAAAGAAGAATAGAAGATTAACTAATGCTGGCACTTATAGACTTCTATAGTTTTTGACATACCGAAAAGCATAAGAACTCGAGACCAATAATTATTAAAGAAAAGTTAAAATGAGTAATTTTATAAAAGAACATAGGTAAATACAAAACAGTAAGATCTACCAAATAACTAACTAAAACATGAATTCAAATTCAATTCAGCAATCATGATATAGTTTAATTCATAGGATAAGTTCATTGATATTGGACATAAATTTAACATGTTAAAATATGGAAAACTTAATATAAAAAAAACCGTTTTAAGAATATATACTTTTTAATTTCATCCAAATAAACTAACTTACCTTTCATTTAAGTTCCAGCAGTTGGGATTTATACAGGCAAATAAATAAAGAGTACGGTGAACAGTAAGATTCTCTAATGGAGCATATATTTGCACAACCAAAGGTCTTGGAAGCTGGCATAAAGGACAAATTGGAGGATCCAATTTTATATTTGATGGATAATCCTAAAATTAAAATAAATAATGATACATGACAACTAAGATAATTTGTTCCGTACAAGTGTAGGGGGTGTAACTCAGTGGTAGAGTGTCTGCTTCGCATGCAGAAAGTCCTGGGTTCAAATCCCAGCTCCTCCAAAACTTTTTGTTTTTTTTTTCAAAAATTATATTATTAAATAAGAAACATAAAAGCATTTACATCATGTAAAGCATTATTAAGAGTAGTATTTGTGTATTAATTACTACATTTCTCTTTTTGTGTACTTAAAATGGTTTATCAAACTAGGTAAATAAATGTTACTCACTGGCTTTCCTCCGATTTTGTTAACGGTAAAGTTGACTTGATTTTTGTATTTTTCACTAATGGGTTCATCTTCGAATCCAAGTAACATGCCAAAAATATTTTTTTCCATTATTTTAGCCAAATTTTAAGCAAAAAACAGCTGATCGATGGATGGCGCTCTGAAATTAGTCAACCAAACATACACATTCGAAAAATATTGTCCATAACCAAACTATTGCCGAGCATGCTATACATGCGCAGATCATCCGATGTTTTTATCGATTTATTTAAATTCATAAGCATGTGTGGGTTATCTAACCGCTTAGAAAAACTCAACATTTAAAAGACAATAAATAACGATTTGCATTGTTTAAGCACAGACCTGAACAGTTAAATTCTTTTTGATAGATTATTTGAGATTCTTATTTAAACATTACTAGGAATAAAACATGTTATTTAACTACCTAAGCGTTCTCTATTTAGAATGTAGACTATCTAACAGATCTAACTAGATATACGTATACAAAGAAAATGTAGTGATATAAATAAAATATTTACATAATGGCTTTACTTTATAAGAAGAAAAGGTGTTAAAATTTAAATACAACTTGATACGGCAATATCTACTACTTATCTATTATAAACCAGAAAAATAATGGATTTCAAACACCTCCACATTTGTTGCAATTTTAAAAACATTCAAAATGTTGGAAATATCAAAGAATTACTGCTGTCTAAATCCAAATATGTATGAAGTCCATCGAGCAAATGAAGTCCCAGGAGAAAGATTGAGAAAAAGGAGAACTAATCTTCCCGTATTAAATTATATTTAAATTAAATGATATTAAAACTTTCCGTGCAATAAAAATAGGCATAAAAGTAACAAAAACTAAAGATTATATATAACAATTTTATATACAAAAGTTTCATTTTCAATTAAAAATTTAATACTAAAAAGGTTTTAAAATTAATTTGTTTAAATACATTTCTTTTAAATATTCTCTAATACGTGTTGCATAAGAGAAAGTAAACTTTTCAATTAATTGACATATGACACTGTTGTTTTGATGTTTTTTTGTAAGTGAGAGTGAGGTTAGGTCTACTTGTAAACTTTAATCAACATACAAATTTTCGATGAAATAATTATCTGTAAGAATAATTTTTATCCTGATTTATAACATGACAGAAGACGTCCAAAGACATTCTGTTCACACTCTTGTGTTCAGATCGTTAAAACGATCTCACGATATGTTTTTAGCAAACCAAGGAATTCTGCCATCAATTGATGATACTGCGTAAGTTTTTCTCTCATGTATTCCGTTTTGGGAATTGTGTTTCTGACCCCATCTCATATTTTCAAATGTTAATGTGCTTTTGTTGCAAAGTACATTGAATTTTATGATGATTTATATTTTCTTTTGCTTATGTTATAAGAGATAAGTTTTTGTGTGTCATATACACTACATTAGTTCTTGACTTACTAAATTTTTATAGATCGTTTCTTAAAAGATCAGCACTAAAACTAGAACTAAACATTTTAGAGACTATTATTCTAAAGCAAGTTAAAAATAGAGCAATTTCAGTTAAGACAGTTAATAATGCATCAGAATTTTGTAATTAATTTGAAAATGTAGTTCAATTATATATGTTTTTTATAGAGAAAAAATAAGAAGGTTGGTAAAGGCAAGAGACTCTTATGGTATGGTATTCGATGATGTTAAAAGAATGCAAGCTATGAAAAATCTGAGGGAAGCTGAAGCCGGTCCAAATCCACCCCCTCCTGGAACAGCAGAGTCTCCGGATGGTCAACCAGCTGACAGTGCTGTGGTTCCTTACACAGATAATAGTCTAGTATTAAAAAGTCAACAAAATACTAATCAGAATCAATTGACTAATCCAATGAAAAGAGCACCTACAATGCCAAAACCAAAGTGGCATGCTCCATGGAAACTATACAGAGTAATTGCTGGACATTTGGGGTGGGTGAAATGTGTTGCTGTAGAACCAGGAAATGAGGTATGTAAATTTTTAACAATTAATTCAGAAATTAAATCCATTGGCACAATTTCTTGTTGTATATAATGTATAGTACCAGTTAGTATTAAAAATACATTCTGGACCAGATGCTATTTGCAGCAGTCTATTCAGCACAATGTTTAAACTTAAGAAAGTATTTAATTAAAGACCCTATGTGTAAAGATGCTAGTATAAAAGTCACAAGTGGTGCAGACAAAAGCACAGACACATTATCTGTTAATAGAGGAATGCTCACAAGGTGATTCTGTTACTCCAAGTTAAAACTAAAAATCTACGGGAAGAATTACATGATGCATCTAGTGGTGAGAAGGTCATGAATGAATCATTCACAAAGATCTGATCTTTGTGAAGACCCGTGATTGATACAATCACATTCTGTGACCCTACCATTCGGATGACCCTATGAATCATGCCTATGAATGATGCTGTCTAGTGTTTACGAAAGAACTGTGTGATCGCCACACATTGCTCGCTCAAATTAATGCATGAAGCGAGAACCGCAAAGGATCATTCAAAAGCTGATTTTGGTTTCTCAGAACAGCAAAACCCTGATGCTGCAAAACTGTAAAATTATATACATTCGAATTGTTGAGTCAATAATAGTCCCGTAGTCTGTTCTGTTTATAAATTTGCAAGAAATAAAATCCATTTTAATTGTTGCATTATCATTTATTCATGAACATAACAATATGGAATTTATAATTTTACTTAACTTTTTCAAGTTTTTTTTTTTATATTTCAATGATTTCTGAAGACGATTTGAGAATTACAAATCTTAATGTCAGCCTTAAACAATATTTCATTCTTAAATTTATATTAACAATATCAAATTCTACATGTAAACAACAATATAATTAAGGTCATTCTAATGAAGGAATCTCTATGAATGGGTCCTGCATTATCAATAATTCATACACTTTCAGAAAGATTCATAAACATATCAATATTAAACTCTACACACTTGACCTTTACACAACAAATTTAATTAGTCATTCATATGAATGGATCTTTATGAACTGGACATTTTAATGAATGACCTGGAAGACCCGGGTCACTGAAACAAACCAGGTCTTCCCATCACTAGATGCATCAAAGCATACATGACTCAAAATAAATTTCACTAAACTAAAATGACTTTAGAAAATATACAAATAAGGCCTTTAATCAAATATTGAAACTGAAAAACATATTAGTTAACTTGGACATTAATATAATTGAGAAAAGACAGCCAGAGTTTTGAACTGGATAGAATAGTGGAACAGTGTTAAGAGGTTTTTGATAAACTTGCATATATATTTAAGGTGCTGGAAATCTCTATAAATTTAACACAAAGAGTGTTTGAGTCTTATATCTTTCCAGTATTTACATATGGCCTTGAAATAATGGCATTTATATGTAAATTCCAAAAGAAAACAACTCTCTATGAGAAAATTCAACAAAAAACCAGAGTAATGGTTTTTGAAGGAGTGGTTAAACCCAGAAGAAATAGCGAGAGGATATCCAAAGTATGGCTGGAAAAATTGATTTGTATCATCCTAAACAAAATCAAGTGGAAATAGTGGGAAGTTGTTTATACCCAGGACTAGATGAATGAAGACTTAAAAAAGAGAGAGCAATTTTATTTTTTTGTTTTACATTTTCTTACATGACATATCAAATTAGATAATATATTTACTCTCTTCGTGATTTTATCAGGTTTTATTGCATCCCTTACTTACTTTATCACACCACTCCCTTGATTCAATTCCTCATCATGACATTTTAGATCAACCTCTTGTAATAGTCTACCATGCCTCACATATGAAAAGTAATATCTGAATCATGGATTAAATCAAAGGGCTAACAACTGTCCTTAAAACTTTCTTTAACATATATTTGATTTAGTATTTGATTTTAATAACATATATTTTTTTTCAGTGGTTTGCTACAGGAGCTGCAGATCGAATTATAAAAATTTGGGATTTGGCTACAGGCCAGTTAAAAGTTTCACTAACTGGACATGTCAGTACAGTTCGAGGTTTGGCCATCAGTCCTAGACATCCTTACTTGTTTAGTTGTGGTGAGGATAGACAAGTGAAATGTTGGGATCTTGAGTATAATAAGGTCAGTAAAAGTCAGTTAGTTCCTAGTTAACAATATAATTTTAATATTTGTGATAAATTTGTTCAATATGTATGTTTTATTTTCTAGGTTGTCAGGCACTATCATGGACATTTATCAGCTGTATATTCATTATCACTTCATCCCACAATAGATGTACTTTTGACAGCTGGTCGAGACTCTACTGCCAGAGTGTGGGATATGCGGACTAAAGCTAATATTCATACACTGACAGGTCATACACATACTGTTTCTACAGTTATTTCTCAAGCAACAGAGCCTCAGGTAAAGATTTTTAATTGCAGTTGAGATAAAAAATTGTTTAATTCATTGTCACCATCATAATTTATGTATATGTCATATTTAGTGAGATTCACAAGGAGAACACTCTTTAATTTTGTATTTAATTCAATCTAGTACTGTACATTCTATAACTATGTATAATTAATTCTATATTTTAGGTTATTACTGGATCACATGACTCCACCATTAGGTTATGGGACTTAGCAGCAGGAAAATCTATTTGTACATTGACCAACCATAAGAAGAGTGTGAGGGATATTGTTTTTCATCCAACTTTGTAAGTAAAAACATTTTGTCAAGTGCGGTCAAGTACAGGGTGAGGTCGGGCCTTGCAGCATCTAATTTATTTTGATTTAACATGTTTCCTTTGATAGTTTGATTTTTATTATTCTAATGATTATACTGTTTTTAGAAATATGTTCGCTTCCGGTTCACCTGATAACATAAAACAGTGGAAATGTCCTGACGGAAAATTCATTCAAAACTTATCGGGTCACAATACTATCATAAACTGCCTGGCAGTAAATCCAGAGGGCGTTTTAGTATCAGGGGGAGACAATGGCACTCTTCACTTTTGGGACTGGAGAACTGGATACAATTTCCAAAGGTTGCAGGCTCCTGTCCAACCAGGATCTATGGATAACGAAGCTGTCATATTTTCAATGACTTTCGATAATTCTGGATCGAGGTTAATAACAACAGAGGCGGATAAGACTATAAAAATTTATAAAGAAGACGATACAGCAACTGAAGAGTCACATCCAATTAACTGGAAGCCTGATATTCTTAAGAGAAGAAAATTCTAACATGTTCTTTTAATTTTTTATCGTCTTGTGTGATAAACATTGTTACTAAGGACATGAGTTTTTTAAGTATGAATAATTATTGTATATTAAAGATAAGTGATTGTAATATAATTTTTTACCATACGATTAGTGTTTTAATCATATTAAAAGCAAGTCGCTATCGCTGCCGATAAACCTACCCTATAACGCATGCAGTGTTTTTAATTACTACAGTAATACCGTTCTTCTTCTTTTAATGGCGCTACAACCCTTTGTAGGTCTTTACCTGCTTAACAATGTTCTTTTATTCTGCCTTGTCCGATACTTTACTTCACTATTGCCTGATGTTCATGGTTTTAAGATCTTCCTCTACATCGTTTATCCACCTTTTACGATGCCTTCCGGGGTTTCCATCTCTGGATTACTTTTACAGCTCGATTAACTGGCATTCTTTTTAAGTGGTCAAGCCAGTTTTACAAACCTAACGATATCTGCGCTCTGCATTAATTCATGCAACTCTTAGTTAATTTCTTTCTTCACGAACCATTGCTACAATGAATTGATCCAAATATCTTTCTTAATATTTTGCGATCAAAAATATTCTCAATTTATTTTCAGCAGTGGGTAAAAGGGTCCACGTTTCACATCCACATGAGACCCCCATGATTCAGTAACTTACTTTTCATTAGGTCTTTGTATGCATAAAAGCACTTATTACCGCTAAGAATTCGTGCTTGTATTTCTTGACTGACGTTGTTGCTGTCATTTATTATTGAGCCTAGGTAGGAAAAGGTGGAGGCATATTTGTAGGTATGGTTGTCTGCTTTGTACACTTCATATATTTTGTTTTTCTTTCATTTATATTTAGACGAAATACAGCGGCTTCCCGTTTTATATCTTTAGCTTTTTCGCTTAATATCCTTCTATTGCGGCTTATTTCCGTCTTCGTAAGACGGAAAGAAGACAATGTTGAAGAAATCAAAAAGAGCCTATAAAAATGGACAAATAGAAAAAATGGAAGAAGATTTTAAAAACAACGAAATTGGAGGGCCTTACGAATACCTAAAAAAGATAAAAAGTGGGTATAAACCTCAAACAAGTCTATGTAAAGATGAAAGTGGGCAAATAATCAATAACCAACAGGAAGCATTATTTTCAGACCCCACTTGGTACAAAAGTAGACAGGAAAATGAAATGGGTACGAACTATGTAGAAGAGAATGGAGTAGAAGCTAGAGCTAGAACCATAGAGGAAGTTCTCGAAGCTATTAAGGCCCAGAAAAACAATAAACCCCCGGGAGTTGACGACAGTAGCGCACCTAGAATTTTCCTGTGGTGTGGTTTTGGTTGGGCATCGAAATTTTTTTAGGCTACCTCCATTATTTTGAGTCTTTAAAATTTGTGTAACAGTGTCAGAATAGTGCCCTGGGGGGGGGGGGCGTTTAACCCCTCCCTGGGTGCTCCACTGATTGACGAAATACCAGCAGAATTGTATAAGGTTTGTGGCGATCACCTAGTAAGTCACATCCACGCGCTCATGAAAGACATATGACAAGAAGAGAAAATACCCGACGACTGGAAGAAAAGTATAGTATGCTCTATCTATAAAAAGGGAGACAAAAACCAGCGTGGAATCTCTCTACTATGTACATCATATAAAGTCCTCGCGTATATTATAAACCAGCGGCTCCAACCACTAGCAGAAAATATTATTGGAGAGTATCAGACAGGCCTCCGACGGAAAAGATCGACACTGAATCAAATATTTACAGTCAAACAGATCTTGAGTAAATCATGGGAACCATGTTCACAACGTATTTGTAGACTTCAAAGAGGTATACGACTCAGTCAAAAGGAACAAACTATACAATATATTGGCTGAATTGGCAATATCACACAAACTAATTAGACTCACTAAAGCCACAGTGGATGAAACTCAGGCATGTGTACGAATACAAAACTTTTTTCAAATTTCGCAGGGACTAAAGCAGGGAGATGAGCTGGCCCCAACTTTGTTTAACCTGGCACTAGAGTATGCGGTTAGGCAAATGCAAACTGGACGAGGAAACGGACTGACCAACCGAACGGTTCACCTGGCCGCTTATGATGATGATAATAATATGAGTAGAACATCAAGAGGAGCACACGAAACATACACAGAGTTAAAAACGCAAACAAAAATGCTAGTTTTTTTAAAAAAACTTTCTCATTTTCTGTCTTGGAGTCTAGGTATCGGAGCGGACGGTTCGGAGAATTATAATTACCTCGTACGCTCGTACGAGGCAATGTTGCCGATTTTAGCGCTTTATGTATTTGCAATATCTAATCCAAAATTTAAAGCACTCTATATAACCTCTTAGCATGTATGACATTTTTGAACATTAACAGTGGAACAGTCACAGTTTGACGTAGTTCTGGGTTAAGAACTATCCAGGTTTAGTAACTTGCGTAACTCAATAAAGGATAAATTAAAACACGTTTATAAAACTGAACAATTTATTATTGCTAGTGCGTTTATTGCCAATAAATAATGTAAAATGAATCACTTGACTTTCTTTTTACCTACTTCTGTTTTCTTCATTTTGCTATTTTGTAAACTTATACCTACATACTGGAATCCTAATATTAATAACATTTGTACTATATTGAATAAGACCATTTGGGGTATGCTAAGAACTTTATAAATTGGATATAGCCATACTCCATCCCTGAGATATATGGAAAAATATCTGAAATAAAAATTAAAGTATATTAAAAAAATGTTTTTAAAATAGGTACTGTAATTTATTAATAATTATTATACAGGGTGACAATATTCCCACCATTAATAACTTCATTTCGGTAAATAATAAGAAAAATTTAAAAGACAGATCGATTTTGTTTTTACAAGTGAAGACTTTTACTACTTTTAGTGAATATTTTTAACTCTGAGTAAATGTTACTCTTACAACTTTAAATAGGAAAGGGTCAAGTACCACATCATTTTAAAGGCATTTTATTTTTTCTCCCATGGTAGCCTAATTTAACTTGCTTGTACTGAGATTAATGGTTGTAAAGATATTATTAAGCTAACATCGTCAACTGTACGCAATAGTGGCTTAACTCAAAAATCAGACATTACATCACCAGAGAGCTTGAAAAAGCCTTATTTATGACCTGCAAAACTGGCACAATAATAATAGCAAAAATGTTCATTGGACGTGACTAGTATCGTTACGACATGTAGGTTGAGATAAATTGTTTCTTGCAGTACTGACACTTTTTAGTTGTGCAGTGGAAGTCAAAAAATGTCGATATCAAGTTTCTATGCAATACCGACACTTTTGAGTTGTGCCACTATAGCAGACAATTTTATATATTTTCAAACTGTATCAGTAAGAATTTTGGAGTTTTGTCACATTAAATAAAAGGAGTAAATTTTTTATTTTAAATGTCAGATCCAAAGGATTATCAGAAAAGAAGTGAATTAATCCTATCTCAAGCAGGAGTAACCTAAGTCATAATATCAATATTATTTTAATTTATAACTCCAAATAATTGATTTAGTATAAAAGTTTAGACGATTTTTTGTTTACACCTATCGGTTTAAACAAAAAATAAACCCATTTTAGTTTACACCAACCGGTTCGTAAAGAGAGGATCGTCAATTTTAGGGCATTTTAGGTGATAAAAGACGTGACAATTAATAAACCTAAAAGTAGGAAAAGGAAGGCTTGTCCGGATCAATGGAAAAAAATGTCAGAAAGTTTCTTAGAAATTCAGGCCAAAAATTCACCAATGTTAACGGTAATCTTGTACAAGCTTGCAGTTTAGGTCCATCTTGCAATCCATGTAGACTGAAATGTGATGAAAAATTCACCTTACAAGAAAGAACGCAGATCTTTGAAAAATATTGGTCAATGGATATAAATGAACAACGAAGTTATATTCTGAGAACATATCGATGTTCAGAAAAAGGTAACACATCAAGCCGTGGTTATAATCATGCATTTTATTTGAAAAACCGTCAGAAAAAAAAAATAAGTGTGCAAGCGACTTTTTATATCCATCTAAGAATTACTACTAGATGTATTCGAACTGTTATTGGAAAGACGGAAAGTGGCTTTATAAGCAACGATCAAAGAGGTAAATATAGCATGCATAAAACATTTTGTAACGAAACTATCAACAGGGTTCGTAAACACCTTTCTTCAATTTCGAAAATAGTGAGCCACTTTTGTCGAAGTAGTAGGGAAGAGAAAACATCGGAGGGTGTTGGAGCCGGCATAGTAGGGACAAATCAAGGGATACATTTCCCGGTAAGTCTATCTAAGGATGTGACAGTTTTCCAGGCGGAAATAACTGCAATCCATCACTGTGTGGAAGAAATAGAAAGGCAGGAAAGAACGTTCTATTCAGTTGCCATCTTCACAGATAGTCAGGCAGCGCTTAAGGCACTCAATTCTGTAGAGGTCAATTCTAAGCTAGTATGGGATTGCGTGTGTGCCCTAAATAAACTAGGAGACCGTAGCAAGGTTACGGTAGCCTGGGTACCGGGGCACGAGGGTCATAAGGGCAATGAAAAAGCAGATGAAATGGCCAAATAAGGCTCATCAATGCCATTCATTGGACCGGAACCCTTCTGCGGCGTTGCAAAGTCAGTAACAAGAACGGCTACAAAGGAGTGGGTAGCTCACAAATCTCTGGAATTGTGGAGGAATTCACCAGGACAAAAACAGGCGAAACAGTTCATTAGAGAACATTCGCCAAAATTTACGGCAGACCTAATTAGCAAAGATAGGAAAACAGTCAAAGCCATAGTACGTCTTCTAACAGGGCACTGTAAGCTGAATAGGCACTTGAAGCTAATGGGATTATCAGATGATGACCTGTGCAGATTCTGTCACCTCGAAGAAGAAACGGCAGAGCACATTTTATGTCAGTGTGACAGTCTGGCAAATGTGCGGTTTTTTGCATTAGGAGAAGAAAATCCACCGGAAAACAGCTACATGGAAGGTACAGTCTCGAAGCTACTAGACTTTATAAAGAGGGTCAGGCTAGAGAATGTTGTCTAGGACTAGAGGGCCACAATAGATCTGAAAAGGTCGCAGTGGAATAGGCCGAAAGGCCACCTCTCTTAATCTAATCTAATCTTTGTCGAAGTAGTACCTCAAAAAAATATATAGGAGGAGGTAAAACATTGAGAGATCTATACAATGATTATAAAGCTGATTGCTAAAGAGACAGGAAGCTAAAAATACTTGACAAAGAGAATGTGACTAACTTACAAAAAGTTGCTTGTTTTGACCAACAAGCTATTCTACTGACACCAAAAGGAGACTTTCCGCTTTCTATTATTAATCTAAGCTGTAAACATATCATTTCTCTATATGTGAACTTCAGAAAAAAGGACTGCGAAATGTGCACAGCTATGTTTCGCACGAAGGAGAAGGTAGTAAATGTGCCACAGAAATTGGTTCGTGCCTGCTGATGTATTTGGAACAAACATCTATAAAAACCAATTCTGACGATTTGAAATTCAGATTTTACTCAGACCATTGTGGTGGCTAAGGAAACAACAAGTACCTAATTGCAATGTATCAGTACGCTGTAACTCATTTCAAAATTTCTTTGATAACTCATCGCTAATTACTTGTTGGCCATACTCAAAATAAGGGTGACAGCTGCGACTCTTTAATAGAAAGAATTATCACTAAATCTTAAAAAAGGGCCTATTTATCTACCGACTCATTACGCTATGCTGATCCAAACTGCTTGTTGCAAACAATCAATCGAAGGATACGAATTATGTCCTTATGAATTTTGACCAGAAAAAGTTAAATACTAAAACAGCGACAATTTTCAAGGAAGATGTCCAAGGAAATACTTTTCATTTCAACGATATTTGTGAAATTTATGGAAAAAAAGTTCTGGTACTCAAAACTCTTTTAAAACTTCATTTGCACAAGAGGAGTACAGATCAGTTGATACCACAAAAAAAAAACAAAAAAGGTTTAGAAAGCATGGATATTATAGAACTAGAAAATGCTTACAATGGCAGCCTGCCAATAACTGAAAAGAAGAAAAAGGTCCTTACTAGCCTTTGTGAAGACAAGAGTGTTCCACCAATTCACGCTGATTTTTTTTAAAAGATTGTTAATCATAAATTTCTCTATTATTATCAATATCTGCTGTTTTTATTTCGTTCTTCTTTTCGATTCACACGGAAGTCACACAAGGTGTGTCTCATATAAGAAATATGGAATATCGCGCCCAAGATTATTATTATTATTAGTTACCATATCACTATCTACAAATAGTCACTATCAAAGTGGATGTATTGATATTCCATTTCTCATTTTAAAATTAATACAATTTCGTTAACTTACTCAAAAATATGACTTAAATACTCACAATGTCTGGTAGATTCCAGCATAAAATAATAATATGGGAGCTGCATTCTTAAATTGCACAAAATTATCTTTCTTTGGCAGCAGTATTTCTATAACTAGAGGAATAGCTATGAAAGTATGTAACACATGATTCAACCACGAGGGAAAGAATGTGTCCATAACCTTCGGGAATATCAGTTCTCTATCCACAGCCCAGATAGACCAAAACGTAAAAACTACTAATGTGCTGCATGGAAACACGAGGCTGTTGAATATGTAGGCCCTGGCTTTGTTCAGAAGATTCTGGATTTTTGATGGAAAGCTCAGAAGTTTTGATAGTTCATCTAGGACGGCTAGCGAAATAAAGAAGATTTGTAGCATCTGAAACAAAAGAAAATGCATTATATTATACGAAAAATTTTAATACATTAAACTATACTATATGTTCTACTATATATTCATAGATTACTACAATAAACTTATTTTCAATTTCAGGAACGGCATGACCCAATAGGAAAGTTTATATTTCATATTCTAAGTATACTGTTTGAAAGGTTTTGCTTTCTATTCACATTGTGTGGTTATTTATTATTTATTTATTTATTTAGCGTATGGATAATTACAATACGATAAAAGTAGTATTTAGATAATAATTATGTTCAAATTGGAATTGTAACCTAAGTTAAATATTAAATATTAATGTCCAAATTGCACAGTCATTCAATTGCACCAGGAGAACACTCTGCAAGATCTTGAAGGTCTCCTCTGTATCTGCGGATTGGGCAATCCGCCATGATGTGTTGGATGGTCTGTCTCGGGGATCCACAATCACATTGTGGGCTTTCTGCATGACCCCATCGGTATAGAGAATCGGCACATTTTGCCATGAGCCGTGCGTATGCGATTTAATTTTGTCCATATAGGGCGTGGCAGGTTTGATCCAGTGAAGCCGATCGACGTACTTGTTATTTTGATGACGTCTGGCTCTGTTGTTGGCATCCATCTTTTCGTCCACTGCTCTTGCTTATTGTAGCTATCACCCATTCCCTGAACGGATTGGACAGGGGGTCGTCTGGACTTCAGTCTTTGTTGGTCTTGTGCGGCGTGCGGAATATACTGGTGAATTGGCAGACGATTATTTGCCATGATTTTCTGATACTCTCTGACAAGTGCTGCCGTTCGTCGAATATCTGGAGGTGCTATATTGCTCAGAATTGGAAGCCATCTTAGTGGAGTTGATTTAATAGTACCAGATATTACTCTCATAGTGTAATTTAGTTGAACATCAATCTTGTTGACATGAGCGCTATTTAGCCATACCGGTGCGCAGTATTCAGCGACAGAATACACCAGGGCCAGTGAGGAGGTTCGAAGTGTATCCGCAGTGGCACCCCATGTCGTTCCAGCAAGCTTTGTTATTATGTTGTTACGGGTTCTCACTTTGGCAGCTACATTAGTAAGATGAGTTTTGAACGTCAGTGATCTGTCGAGCGTTACACCCAGGTATTTAGGGTTGTTATTATGTTTCAAAGTCTCGCCATTGAAGGTGATGCTAAGGGTGTCATTCGAAAGCTGATTTGTGAGATGGAAGAGGCTTGTCTCAGTTTTGTTTGTATTAGGGCGAAGTCGCCATTGTTTAAAGTAGTCGCAGAGAACCCTTAAGTCTTCGGTAAGCGCCCTTTCTCCAACATCTTTGGCTTGGTTTTGAAATGCGATAGCCAGGTCATCTGCGTAAGCAAATTTTTTTGATTTTGTCTCTGGAAGATCGGCTGTGTAAATGTTAAATAATAGTGGAGCAAGCACTGACCCCTGTGGGAGGCCGTTATTTAGCTTTCTGACATTGCTCTTTGTATCGTTTATATATACTTGAAACAGTCTGTTGGTTAGGAGGTTATTGATTAGTTGTGTGATAGTAAAGTACTGTAAGTGTAGTAAAGTTATATTTATAACTTAACAAACCGATTTAACGATGATTATTTGTACAATTGGTATTTTTGTTTTAGAAAGTAACAGTTTGGATCCAAAGCCTAGCACTTCAAAACAAGAATTAATATCTTATTCTTCAGGTACGTATTACATAAATTCTTTATTTTTCTTGCTATTTCATTACTCAAGCTGATTTTAACTTATGTAATACAGCTTCGCGGCGAAGCGTAAACGAGGGAGAAAAATTATTAAAGGAGACACTAGAAAAATAAGACAAAGTAACAAAAATTCAGGAAATTCTTATACCACTAAAACAGGTAGAATTGCCCAAGGTCGTAAATTTGAAAAACTTATGAATTATCACAAAGGTTGTTCAACAAAAGTAGATAAAGAAACTCAACAACTACTACTTATTCAATGAATTTTGGAATATGGATAGTTATAACAAACGAGTCGCTTATACTGTTAGTCTTATCAGCAAGTAAAAAGTAAAAAAACTCAAAAAGTGAGTGAAGCTAATAGAAAAAAGGTCAGAGAAGGTGCATATGCATTTTGTGTGAAACGCGAAGGCGAAAAAATCGATGTTTACAAAAGATGTTTTCAAAAAATTTTTGATTTATCTAATACCTTTATCGCAAATGTTTTGCGTAAAGCAAATTCTTCAGGTATAGCATATGACGATAAACGAGGCAGACACGAACCTCCCAACAAAACAAGTGAAGAAAATATCATGTTAATAAAACAACATATTACATCGATTCTGAACTACGTAAGCCACTACTGTCGACAAAAAAGTGACAAACGATTTTTGCCTTCATTTTATACACTTACTAGATTATACGAATAATATAAAAAATGGATATCACCACGAAATCCTGTCGGCCGTAAGGTATACGAATCTGTGTTTCATACTATGAATATTTATATTAAAAAGTTTAAAAAGGATACGTGTCAAACATGCGATAAATATAAGGCCTAATTCAAAATGAACAATGTGCAGAAGCTAGAGAAGACTTAAGAAACACGTAAGACAGACACATGGAAAAAGCTGAAAATGTTTACGCCGCTAAAAGCAAGGATAAGGAAAAAGTTGCCAAAGATAAACAGATTTACAGCAATGTCTGCCAACACCAGATATAACGACGTCTATTGCTTTTTACAAGCGGTAACTTTGGACATACAATTTGACCTTGCATCAATGTAATAACAATCAAGCAATTTGTTACATGTGGTACGAGATTATTTCGGGAAGGTGTGCTAATCACACTGCTTCATGTCTCTATAAAGAACTTCAATCTTTACCGCTTGCAATAAAACACGTTACGCTTTACTCAGATACTTATGGGAATCAGAACAAAAATTCCCATTTAGTGGGTATATTTATAATATTAATGAATCAATCTCATTTAAAATGCATAGATCATAAATTCTTAACCCCAGGACATACTCATATGGAGTGTGACATAGATCTCCATATGAGTCTCCAATTGAGAAAAGAAGAGAAGAAGTTTGAACACAAAATTGAATGTAGCCCAGATGAATAAAGACGATTTCTATGACTTTGCAGCATTTTAAAGGAGAAATTACAAACTAAAAATTAGACGAATCTGGAAATCGATTTTTATGGCAAGACGTGAAGTGGTTAAGGTATGAAAAGGAATATGGCAGATTTGCGTATCAAACGACCCTCGACGAAAACGAACCGTTCAGATATATAAACTATTTAAGAAGTAGGCAAAATGCTTGTGCTACAGAACATTTAAAAAAATGTAGGTTTCCAAATCCCATTACTGAAGAAAAGAAAAAAAATAATTGAATTGCTGCCTTATATTAGTAACGTTTTTCATCCGTTTTATGAAAGCCTATCGACGCAAACAAGTGTAAAGGAAGTGCTTCCAGATATTGAAGATGATTATATTCAAGACGATGTGTAAACGGATGTATTTTTCATTTTGTGTTAATTGAGATAACTCACTTTTTTTGTTAAGAGTTACATGTTGGGTTTAAGATTGATTTTGTAGTTTATTAGAATAAAAATCATTTACAATAGAAACTGTATGCTTTTTATTACAATGAAAATATTCTGCAATATTTCAGCAGCTCATATCTTAAAAACCTTATTTTCCGACTTATCTCCTTTTACACGCGCAAGAGCGATATGATGTAATTCCTTTTGGCAATGCCGCCATGTGTGTTTTTTGTGTCCCAACATATTCGCTACCCCCTCCTTTCCAATTATGTATTATGTCACGATCTGACTAACTATTCTATCCAACCACAAAACGATTAAAAGATATATTGTTTATAAAAATATATCAAGAAATCCCAAACATTATTTAAAAATTGATAGAAAGTTTTATTTTAAACGTAGTTTATATTAAACTCACTATTTTATTTTTATTTTAATCACTTAAATGTTTAAAATCATAACCACTGCTAAAAAAAGGATAAGAATAAACAGAATTTCTAAAAAAAAAATAACTAATTCTAAAAAATATATAGTCCAAAGTTTGAAGATAACTCTGGATTCATTAATTATGAGTAATTACATCGATTTTTTGATGTAAGTAAATCCTGTTTAGTCTGGGTCGTGACCCAGGATCAACGATTCCATTATTTTTGGTGATTATTTTGATGAACATTTCACAACTTTCCTTCATGTTTATCAACAATTTAATGAAACGAGTTGAATTTTTATTAGAATATTATTTTTTAATGTCCTGTTAGGCTTTTGATAATATTATAATAAAAGTTGTGATGAAACTTCTTTTTTACTTTGATTATATCATTAGAGTGATAAGGAAACTATTAAACAAAATTTGTAAATAAACATCCTTCGTCAGCACTTAAAGCTATTTACGCAATATAAAAAATAATACAATAATCCAGTGATCAACTTAAATCAGTTTCATAAAAGATTGTCAAAAGTTCGATAAGACACATTCTTTTCTTATTCACATTCTTCTTCGAGTTAAGGAGAAAAATAGTAGGAGGAAGAAAAACATAATTATCGAATTATCTCGTTTATTAATAACTTTATGACATGAATTTATATAAAAAAAATTAAGAGAATTATATTTTATACAATTTTGATCTTTCATTTATTTTTTTTTGTGAAATCAATATTTGACGTCGTACGTATGCGGTAAAGGCGCAAGCGTAAGACATTACAGCGATTGGTTATATAGGAATTGTTTTTATTCAATATCTCAGCCATTTTCAATATTCCGACTTAAATTGTTGCAATTACCATTTCTTAGAATTTCTTCTTTGACAATTTTTTTGAATGGTTGCTCACGCAACGGCGCAATTCAATCGCGATTTTAAATTTACACTAAGCCCCCCTTACAGGTTAGTATAATAAAATTCGGAGCAGCTTGCCATGCAAGGTCAATGCTATCCCGGCTGTACTAAAATGGAACTTCCTCAACAAGTTAACAAATAATAAAGTTTTC